GGAGTTTGAGTCCAGCCAACTTAACTGCCTGCTAGAATGAAAATCAGCTCTCCATCTATCAACTGATAAATGGATAAGAAAATCATGGTACATCCATACAATGGAATACATACGGCTGCAAAAACGAATAAAGCATTGGTGCTGGTTACAACATGGATGAACCTTAAAAACATTAAGCTAAGTAAAAGAAACCAGTCGCAAAAGACCACATATTATAAATTCTATTTGAATGAAATGCTCAGAACAAGGAAATCTATAGAGACAATTTAGGGGTAGGAAAGTGTAGAGCTAAGAAGTACAGAGTTTCTTTTTGAGGTGATAAAAACATTCTAAATAGTTGCGCATATCCGTGAATACACTAAAACCACTGAATTGTAGGTAGGTAAATTATAGCTCAATAAAGCTGTTATAAATAATATATACATACCAATTTTTGTAAGAATAAAAATCACTTCTCCTAGAAGGAGGATTATACAGTTGATCCTTGAATAACATAGCTTTGAACTGCACGGGTCTACTTATATGCAGATTTTTTTTCAACCAAATGTGGATAAAAATACAGTATCAGTAGAATGTGAAACCCACTCATACAGAGGGCCAACTTTTCATATACGTGGGTTGCGAAGAGCCAACTGCAGGAACTGAGTATGCATGGATTTGGTATACACAGGGGGTCCTGGAACCAATCTTTTGCATATACCAAAGGAAAACTATACAACCCAAAGTCCCTACAACCATCCACATTGTCCAGCATAAAACAAAAAATAATCAGATACATAAACAAAGAGAAAAATGTGACCAATAGTCAAAAGAAAAAGCAATCAATAAAACCTACCCTGAAATGGACCAGACGTTGAAATTACAAGAAAAAGGCCTCAATATATTTTAAGTATACTGTAAACATTGTGTTTTATACATATATATATATATATAATGTTGAAGGGAAAGAAAACTGTGATCCTAATAAGTGAACAAATGGGGATCTTAGCACAGAAACTGAAAAGAAGGGAAATTTTAGAACAAAAAGTACAGTATCTGTATGGGCTTCACAGCAGATTGGAGGTACCAGAATAAAGTGCTAGTAACCTAGAATATCTGTCAAGAGAAATTACTCAATCTGATAAACAAAGAGAAAAAAAATACTGACAAAATGAACAAGAGTTTCAGTGACCTGTGGGACAATATCAAGATGCTTAGCAAACTATAACTTGAGTCTCAGAAGAAAAAGAGAGAACAGATAGGATGTAAAAATAGATTAGAAGAAATAATAGTTGCAAATTTCCAAGATTTGATTAAAAACAAACCTACAGATCCAAGAAGCTCGATAAATCCAATGCAATATATGTACAAAGAAGACCAAAAGAAGGCATATCCTACTACAAATAATAATACAATAGCTGAAAACCAAGAAAAAAAAGGAAAAATCTTAAAAGCAGTCAGAAAAAAAGATACATTATATACATCACATACAGGGAAAATGTTATGGATTATGTCTGATTTCTCAGATGAAAAGGTGGAAATCAGAAAACAATGGCTTGACATGTTTAAAGATCAGGGAAAAAAAAAAAACTTCAACCAATAATTATAAAACCAGCAAAAGTGTTCTTCAAGAATGAAGGTAATGACTTCAAACTATTCTACAAGGACACAGTAACCAACACAGCAAGGTACTTGTAAAACACACATACACACACACACACACACCCCAAACAGACATACAGACCAA